GATCGTGACAAGTCATATCTTGCTCGCCTCATGTTGGTATAGGTTGAAGTCTGCATCAGTCACCATGGTCGACTACCGCAAGTATGTCAAGTGCTCTTCGAGTGCAGAACCGGCGAAGAAGACGGGAGAGAAAGGACGAGAAAGAGGAGAAAGAGGAGGAGCATGAAATGTGTTTGCTGCTCACTAACACATTGGGATAGATGGGACAAGTTGATGGAGAACATAGACGATGACGAAGAAGAGGAGGAGAAGAGAGAGTGGATATCAAGGTATCAGCTCATAGGATCTCAATCGCCGTAACAGGGATACAGGTGGGAGATAGAAAGAAAACGTCTTGAAAGAGAATGGGCAGGAGAAGAAGTAGATCAGAGTGAGTGTCTCATCCTGCCATGTCCCATGCTCAACGTCTTGGCAAGATGAGGGTAACGGCAGCAACGGGAGACAAGAAGGTGTAGGTGGGTCACAGAGAGACATGGCAATCCTTACCCTCCTCTGGCTAGAAACCTTGACAAGTCGAGGAGATCAACAGGAGACAGCCATCGAGCATGTCATGCGATTGCCGGCTGTACAGCGAGCTCTGAACCATCCAGACGTTTCGATGGCCGAAGAGATGAAGACCATGGAATCCATGCTCCAAGCCCAGGCCTCGTACGTCTCCTGCTTGCTGCCTTTGCTCATGCCCTGCAGGGACGCGGTGGGCGAGGACATTCCTGACAAGGTGTGGGAGACCTTGGGAATGCGGAACGTCGGGGATGCGTCGGAAAGGTGAGGAGGGGAGAGAGATTTTGCGACTTGACGTCAGTGTGTTAGCGCAAAGATGCAGAGGAGAGCAAGACTAGTGGACATAATCTCGAGCATGGAACACGTCTCCCCCTTGACTCCTCTGCCTCTGCTCAGCTCTCCTGTAGATTTCTCAATCCTCTTGTCCCAATCGCGGCAGTTTGGAGGTAACTCTGATGCTTCTGCTGTTTTCTCTTCATCATCTGCGGCATACAGGCTACTCTCGACAGTCTGCTGAGCTTACCCTCCATGATGGTCGATACTTGCGATCTTTCCTCCTATTCCTATCCCTGGCTTCTCACATTCTTGTCGCACGCCTCGTCTCAGGCTCTCTGTGCAGGCTTTGGCGAAGCTTCTCGAGTCAGAGGAGGCAGCCACTGTCTGCCTGGTCGTGGACCTGCTGTCAAGGTGATGCTGAGGGTCTGGCGGCAGGCGCGCACTCAATGCTGGCAGATGCTTCCTCCTCCTCGTCTCTGCTGTCACCTCTGGCGCCTCCTCTCACGTCCCTACAGGACAGCTCGCGGCTCAAGCCTGTCGCATGCCTGCTAGCTGATAGCGGTAGGGAGGCGTTGAGGTGCGAGCTGAGATAAGGCGCATGAAGCAGGGGCCGTGAAAGCATGCGTGCAACTTGTGCTGGACCAACCGAGGTCAGAGCTACATCATCTCTCAAGCTACATCATCTCTCAAGCTACATCATCTCTCAAGCTACATCATCTCTCAAGCTACATCATCTCTCAAGCTACATCATCTCTCAAGCTACATCATCTCTCAAGCTACATCATCTCTCAAGCTACATCATCTCTCAAGCTACATCATCTCTCAAGCTACATCATCTCTCAAGCTACATCATCTCTCAAGCTGCATCATCTCTCAAGCTACATCATCTCTCAAGCTACATCATCTCTCAAGCTACATCATCTCTCAAGCTACATCATCTCTCAAGCTACATCATCTCTTTTGACCTGCTGGTTCACTTGCCATGTTCAGTCGCCTTCTGCCCTGGTCGAGACTTTCCATCCTCTCCATCCTGCAGGCGAGGACAAGCTTCACCTTCAGGACCCTTACTTTCACTCTTTCACTTGCCATGCTCAGAGCTTGCTCGTGTTGGATCCCTTCCTTCTCATCAGCAAAAGGGTAAGGGCCTTGCTCGATGGTGTCTGCTCCTCCTGCTCCTCCTGCTCCTCCCCTTCAGAACCATCTCACTGCTCGGCTTCATGTTTGTTGGTTAGTGTGCTCGTTAGGCTCGAAGTTCTTCGTTGACAGACGTCATGGCGTGTCTCCTGCATGCATCCGGTAGCAACATGCGATCTTGACTTGAGGCTCTTGTCTTGTCTCTCATCCTGCCCAGCCATGCAGAAGGAGGAGTATGAGCAGAAGCAGCAGGAGTACCGCGAGCTCTATCGCTCGCCCCCGCATCCTCTCACGGGCTCCGACGTCTTCCGTCTTCACCTCCTTGAATCCTCCGGCCAGTCCATCGCGCAGGTCCTGAAGTCCTCTTCGTCTCCTCCTCTCCTCCACTCCTCCTCTCCTCCTCTTTCACCTTGTGCCTCCCCCCCGGGTTTTCTTCTCTTCGTCGCTCCTTGAGATCTCTGCCTACTCCTCCCTTTCTTCTTTCTTACCTTCCCTTCAGATTTGTTGTCTGAGCCTTGCACGTCCTGACGTACCTGAATTTGGTGAATCCATTGAGGTGAATGACACGATGGTTGTCATGAAGATGAAGATGGAGATGTAGATGTGTAGATGTAGATGTAGATGTAGATGTAGATGTAGATGTAGATGTAGATGTAGATGTAGATGTAGATGTAGATGTAGATGTAGATGTAGATGTAGATGTAGATGTAGATGTAGATGTAGATGTAGATGTAGATGTAGATGTTGATAAATGTCATGATATTGAAAATGGCCAAAGTGGCGATTGTGGAGTAGCATGTGTAGTAGAGGAAACCTGCAAGGAGAAGAGAGGAGCAGAGGTGTGGGCAGCAGGTAGAAGGAGGAGGAAGGGGTGGTTCTAGGAGGAGATGACATGACCGGTGTATCCTCGTCTTCTCTTCCCCTCCTTCTGGTGCCTCCCCGTGCCTTATCTGTGACGTTGCATCGCGTGCCTGGCGCAGGAGAACATGAAGGAGCTCTTCTCCTACCTCGAGGCCTCCTACTGGTATGCCCTCATATGCTCTCATCGCCTCTGAACCTGAGCAGCTCCTCCTTCCCTCCTGCCCTCCAAAATGATTTTCAGGTGCCTCCCTGCCCTCCAACCTCGACCAGCAACTTCTTCGCTCCCTTTTCTTCTTCACCTTGTCCTTGCTTGTTGTTACCTTCGACTTCCTTGTCTCCTGTCCCCTCCTCGCCTCTCCCTCGTCCTTTCCGCTTCTCTTTGCTAACAAGTCAGCAGATTCTCGAGCCAATCGCCTACATCATCTCCTCGCTCTCGCGTCATCCGGACATGTTCGCTTCCTAACCCCTTTCTCCTCGTCCTTGTCCACGTCGCCCTCATTTACCTGATGCTTTTTCGGATGCTGCCCATTGCTCTTTCTCTCTCTTGCTTCTTCTCTTTAACTCGCTCTCGTCGATCTTTTTTCTCTCCCTCTCCGCGTCATCTCACTTGCTTCAGGTATTCTGCTCATGAGGTTTCTCTGCATCTCCTCCAGCTACGGAAGCGAATCATGTAAGCCTCCTCTTCCTCCCCATAGCTCAAAGATGCATCACTCAACTCCCTCCCTCTTTCATTCATTTTTTCATTTTTTCATTCATTCTCACTTTCATCGTCATCATGTGGCTTCTCGTGATCATCCTCGTCATCTTCAGCTTGAGCGGCTACCTGCCTCTGCTTCTCAGCTGCTTCCGGCATGTCGAGGAGCAGCTGAAGCAGGGGAAGGCGCTCGTGCGCTGCCAGGACGATAAGAGGGGAAGCAGTCTACTCGAGCTGCAGGTGGGTGCGAGATGGAGAGGGAGGAAGGAGCAGCTGAAGGTCGAGGGAGCAGGCGGGGATACTGGGGCTCTCAGACTCGCTCCTCAACCTCCTCCTCCTCGCTGAAGCCAGCAGAGATGCCGGCGGCTGCGGCGATCTCCTCCTCCAGCTGGACGCTGAGGGCATGCCAGACCGCTTGGTTCGCCTGCTTGCCGGTCAGATGGACCCTAGCTTCCTCCTCCCCTTCAACCCCACCTCCCCTGAGCTCCTTCCTCCTGTCCTCCTCTCCCTTTACTTGCTCCTCTTCTTCCTCGCGCCTCGATTTGCTCGTTTCTCTCTCCTCCTCGTCCGCAAACTTCTCAGCTCCTGCTGAACCAAGAGATGCAGTTGCTGTGGACTTGGAAGGAGAGGCGGCAAAGACTGAAGAAGGCGAGGCAGCTCAAGGAAAGGTGTGGTGGGTGAAGGTAAAGGAGGAGGAGGAGGAGGAGGAGGAGGAGGAGGAGGATGAGCTGATGCAGGGCTTCTTCGACCTTGAGGAAAGCGGCGAGAGTTTCATCCTGGCGCAGATGACAGGGACGGCAGCAGAGACGATAGCGCTGGCGCTCAAGGTAGAGGAGGAAGGAGCTCGAAGAGGATGTTGAAGCCTCCTGCATAGATGATGCGACAAGGGCGGCGAGGAATCCTGAACCAAGAAGCTCTAGCGACACTGCAGAGGGTTGCATGCTCCTTGACAAGAGACAGCAAGGAGGAGGGGGAAGAGGAGGAGATGGGGAAGCAGGAGGAGGAGGAGGAGGAGAATGCTTTGAGGAGAATTTGTACAAAGTTGGCAGAGGAGGTGAAGATGCGAGGGAACAAGAAGATGGCAGAGGTCAGCGACTATCCTGCTGCTCTCTTCTGCTATTCGTTCGCCCTCCTCCTGTGCTGGAAAGAGACGCGGCTGAAGCGACAACTGTGGGGCAACAGGAGCGAAGTTCTGCTGAGGTAGGAGGAGGAAGATAGTCGCTCACTGACGTTCACCAGGTTGCGGAGGCCGCATGAGGCAGCAGAAGATGCCCTGCGTGCGATGGGCGGAGAGGAGGAGGAGGACGGCAAGAACAGTCGCAGACTGCGACGAGCACGCGAGATGCTGGCAACAGGGAAGAACGGCTGAAGGAAGGGGACGAGGTTTTCCCAGCTTGTCAAAAGAGGAAGGGATAGTCTGAATGATCGCTGATTCCCTCAATCTCAATGTCACGCTGTTGCCAACAAGGATCAGGCTGGAAGGAAAAGGAAGGGGAGGAGGCAGACCTGGAGCAGCAGCGTGTGCTCGTACTCGGTCATAACGGGGGCGTAGACGCTCTTAGCGATCGTCACCTGTGAAGTCGATGAGAATGAGGGAGGGAGGGAGGGAAGGAGAGGAGAGGAGAGGAGAGGAGAGGAGAGGAGAGGAGAGGAGAGGAGAGGCTTGCAAAAACCTTGCGGGTGAAGCCACAGGAGAGGAAGAAAGGAACGGCGGTGTCATCAGCGTACGTGAGGATCCATCTCAACCTGCTCCCAGTGTCACCCGCAGGTCCTCAGGCCTGCGCCTCCTCCTCCTCCTCCTCCTCCTCCTCCCCCCCCCCCCCCTTCTCTCGTCGTCCGCCACTCCTCACCCGTGCAGAGTTGAATGCGCCACCACCTTGGATAGGAGGAAACGACCAGCACAACAATTGTTCACCCCCACCCCCCTCCCTCCTCCCTCCTCCTGCCTAGTCCCTTCCTCTGCTCGCTGAGCTTGACGGCAAACAGCTCGAGCTCCAGGAAGTCTGCAAAGCATGAGAACGGGCGGGATGAGAAGGGGAGGAGGATTGGGCCGGAATGCAGGAGGAGGGGGGTTGGAGGGCAGGTAGAGGGGAAGAGGCTGGCAGGAGATGATCTACTTCTCGCGTTGTGGCGTCGCATGGTGGCTGCTGCTGTCACTTGCTGCCTTGCTGCCGGCAGCTTCTTTCGCAGGACTAGCGTGTAAGTCTGCTGCGAGAGGATGAGGCGCGAGATGTGCTGGATGGGCATGGTGGAGCAGCTTCAGCCTCCTCCTCCCTCCTCCTCCTTTACCTCGACAGAGCGTCGGCGTACAAGTGGCCAGCCTCTTGCATGGCCTCCCTGGCGCGCTAGAGGAGTATCAACGTTGCCAGACACAAGCGCTGCTCTTACCCGCCCGTCGCTCACTTGGAGAAGCAGCACCTGCCTTATGCTCAGCACATGCACGCTCCCTCCCCCCGATGACCTCCTGCTCCCCCCGGAGCTCCTTCAGCCGTTGGCTCATAGGGTTCGTCTTCTTCCTCCCTGGCAACGAGTCTGCAAGCTCTCTGATCTCCCCCGTGTGAACACTGAGGCGAGAAACCAAGAGTCAGAAGACGGAGGAGGAGGAGGAGGAGGAGGAGGAGAAGGAGAAGGGGGGAAGGGGGAGGAGAGGGAAAAAAAGGAGGATACAAGGGGCAAAGGATGAGGAGGTAGGAGGGGCGGGGAAGGATTGTCTGAGGTACCTGTATGATCTCCAGCAGACATAATGAAATCTTCGTCCAAGAGGAGAGGAGGGTTGGCAGGAGTCAGAAGCATCAGCCTCCCTTGTCGGAGGCTTGTCGAGGAAGAGAACATTACACTGCGATGAGAGCAACACCCGTCACTTTTCTCATGCTTCACACCTCTTCCCTCCTCTCCTCCTCTCTCCTGCTCCCCCGGCAGCCATCAGCCTCGCCTTCTCCCTCTACCCCTTGCCCCTCCCCTTCTCTTTGTCGCACTCACTTTGGTTTGCACACAGTCGATCGGATTTTCATCTTCCCAGTCACTCAAAAACACCTGCAAGCTTGTTGATCAGAGACCGTCTCCCAGCTTGCTTGTTCCTCTTCCCTCCCCTCCTCACTCTTGTGCCCCCCCTGCCTCTGCGTCACCTCACGAGCATGCAGGCAGCACGAGCTGCCATGCTTCGTATCCTGTGGCCTGTACAGCCACTGACCGCGGAACTTCATCTGCCCGGTCGTCGAGCATCCCCACAGCTTTCGAATCCTCATGATATACTGCATCTCAACTCATCGCCAGTCAGCATGGCGGCGCCTCACCGCAGCCTGGTCCTTCTCCTCCGGTTTCACGTAGACGCAGTCGAGCAGGGAGATCACGTCTCCGTTCTTGGCGAAACTCTCGTACAGCTCGTTCTCTTCCTCCCTCCCCACTCGTTCCCCTACCCATCGAGCGACCCCCATCTCCTCGGGCCTGCAAGACTTGGACGCGAGGTTGACTTCCTCCTCTCTCTCCATCTCAGTTATGGACGACAGAGGAGAGGAGCCCTCGTCCTCCCTCAGATCCTCTAGCTCCCGCTGCCCCATCCCTGCTGGTCTCTCCGCTGCTACCATCCTCTTTCGCTTCCCAGGGAGAACTATCTGAGCAACCATGCGAACCTCTGCTGTCACCTTCGCCCGTCGCTCCACTCTTACTCGTGCGCCCTGATCTTCCTTCCGCTTTTGGTTTCCCTCCTCCGAGTATGCATGCTCCTCCCTCCTTTTGCCCATCCTCTCCCTCCCTACCGTATGCTCTCTTCGCCAATCTTGTCACCTCCCTCCTCTTACTTTTCCCTTATCTTCGCTCCTCTCTCCTCTCTCCTCTCTCCTCTCTCCTGTCTCCTGTCTCCTGTCTCCTGTCTCCTGTCTCCTGTCCTCTCCTCAAGCCTCGAGCTACTTGGGGAGTGAAATGCAGGGCTCGCCTCAGAATTCAGTGTTACCGGGCCGCCATGGCACTTGATCTGCGGCCCGCCGGAGTCTCCGCCGCCCTCGCCGGGCCCGGCCGAGTTCACAGACCGGACCACCATAGTACTGAAAGAGAAGGCGATGAGGCCCCCACCCTTCCGGGAACCCGAGGGGGCGCATCAGAGTAGGGGGTGGGGGTCCAAGTTGCGAAGGGGATGACGGGCACGTCGTGGGCACGGGGAGGAAACGATGCAAGGACATGAGGGGGGACGAGGGATACGCTGATCGACCCTCAAACCGCAACGTTTCACGAACAAACTCCGAGAAGTCCGCCCCGGAGCACATTGACAGTCGTTCAAACCAGTATGAACGGGGTACCATCACCACTATTGGATGGGTGGGGGTCCTGCTAAATCTAAAAGAGGTGCTGTGGTAAAGTGGTTAAGGGGAAGCGCGCAATCTCGAGGTCGACTTTCTTGTCCTGCGCCTTTTCGTCGCCGTTAAAATGCAACGATTCATTACACACCCCTTCAATTCATAATGTATCAAGTAGTGTGGCACGGGATCTGCAATCTCGAGGTTGAACTGATTGTCCTCTTCGTTCTAACCCTATTGGATGACCCCCTCACCCCACCCCCTCAGAATTTCTTGTTTTAACCCACCCACACGAGGACCTCATAGTGCAAGCCTAAGCAGTATGGTTCTACCCTGCATCTTATCATCTATACCCACCCCCCCTGCAGCCTCAACTCTATGTTGTTCCTCAAGTTTAAATCCGATGGAGGTCTACTTGACCTCTTCGCAACACGGACTCCACCTACAAATTTGAAACCCACCCACCACTATACCCCTACCCAAACAATTCACTTACCCAACCATACTCCATTCCCTTTTCCTACCCCCTAGTTCATATCCCGCTAGTGTACCACTACCCGTGCAATCAGCTCTGAAGGTGCTTTTACCCCTGGCAATAAAAAAATACAAATTGGCGACAGGAGCCAGGCGACTCTCCTTTGGTTTTGACTGCAGGAGAAGTGGGGGGTATACCTCATTGATTTACTATGAGCTTCACTAGTGCCCTGGACCTCTCATCTTGACCTCGCCTTTGCCGGGTGATACCGTCTCTCCCCACCCACCCCCACCCTCTCCATCCTTAGTTTACACCCATTACAACCAACCCCCGTGCTTTACAACCCTACCCCTACCCCTACCCCCACCCAGCGCTCATGACTCGGGTGTATCTCAAAAACAAATAACGCGTTAAACGCCTGTCTCGTGAGCTAGCGACCACCCCCTCACCCCCCTCTGACCCTCTTCTGTTTAACCCCCTCGCCCAAGATGCCGACTAGCTAGCCAGAACACCACCCACCCCGTCGGTCATCTACTCGTATATCTGGGTACCTTGCGTCTCTTTCGCTGTCCATATGACCCCACCCTACGGAATGACCTCTTTTTTGTTGACCACCCTGGTCGTGTCTCCCTCCTTGTACCCTCGAATCTACCAACCACCCACCCTCATATAAGACCACCCTTGCAGTCTGGAACAATTGCGATGAAGTGGACTACCCCCACCTACCCCACCCATAGACTCGCGACACCCAACCGTTGCGATCCGGAGAAGGAAGCTACCCCCATGGGATTGACCCTTATGCCCTATTTCATGTTCTAGGGATGGGGGGTAGGGGGTAGTTGAAATTCAATCTCGAGATTCTTGCTATATCACCCCACCCCTGCCGCGGCAATCCTTCCTTGACTGTCCCCCATAGCCCTCAGAACGCGAGTTCGGCTTGACCCTCACCTCCTCTGCTCCCTCTCCTTCACCCGCTCCCCTTGATTCTTCTCATCATAACCATCGATCCTTCCTGTATCCTCTCTCCTACTTCTCCCGTCGCGGACTCCTAACTTCTCCCACTTCTCTTCCTGGTCCGTACATTGTCGCTTCCTCGAGCTTGCGTTCACTTGCACTCTCCTCTTTGTTTCTCCCTGCCACTCTCTTGAAGAAACAAGCCTCATCAGATATATCCAGATATGATCAGCCCTGCTCTCAGAAAACATCAGGCTTAAGGTGCATATGAATGCAGGGCTTGTAGGTTGCTAAGAGTCCCTGGAGCAAAGTCTGAATGACAAGGAAGGTGGGCAGAAGGAGCTTGGCTGAACTTTGATGGAAGATCATTTGCTAAACAAGCAGCTCAGCACACCGTCACAAGACCACCAGCAACTTCAACCGCAGAACTTGAACATGCAGATCGGGGTCATCAATCCTATTGTCGGCATTGGCCCAACCAACCCCCTTGCTAGTCTCGACGTGTCTGCCATGATGCAGCTTCCTCACTCATCCGGACTCAGCTTTCTGACCACTTCCAATGCCTTGGGCCTGGACAAATTTCTTCGCAAAGAGCCCCACCCATCTCCTATGCTCCTGCCCACAGAAATCCTGATCTGGCGAGTCCCAACGACTTGAACAGCCCTGGCTCATCGAAGGGCTGGAAGAATCAATGGAACCCGCTCGGTGGGATGGTCGACAGCAAGCTAGCATCGTCTTCCATCTCCAATCTGTCACCAGAACTCCTTCTCCTGCAACAAAATAATCTGTATAGCACTTTTCCTTTCGTTTCAACCTCGTTGCAGGCTAATTTCAACAGTCTAAACACGGCTACGCAGCAGAACAACCCTCCAGGCTCCCTTCACCATTTGCCATTTGCTCAGTCATCTCTAACGCAGAAGCCGCCGATCGTTTTCAATCAAACTATGAGGCAGATTGGTCAGATTGGTCAAATCGCGTCGAAGTCGATCATTCTAGCTCCGAAACCACAGTACACGGGTGCTGGTTTGGAAGTGATTCAGCAGTCAATTACTGAGAGCAAGAAGCGAAGTTTTGATGAGAGCCAGAGCTTGGCATCATCCTCAGACGATGGCGGCAAGAGAGGACGTAAGAGTGCCGGCAACAAGTGGCAGCGAGAAGCTCTGGCGCAGAGGAGCGAGGCAGGTTCTTCTTCAGGGCAGGCGAACCAGGCCATGGCGTTCCGACTCTTCCTCAAGGACGAGCAGTCGAAAGGAGTTGTCAGCTTGGAGAATGTGGATGAGAGCTCGGATCCCAAGCTGAATCCCCTCGGCCTGAAGATGTGGGAAGTGCACAACGTGGACCAGTGGTGGAAGGTAGGAGGAGACAACGGGGGAGTGACGGGGAGTTGAGCTGACAAGACATGCAGGACGTGCATTCGTGGTTCGAAGACAACCCCGAGAGGTTTTCTCTCAGAGCGTAAGCAGACTTGCAATGCCATGGCTGCGCGTGTGAAGCTGGCGGCAGGTTCTTCATGATGCTTCGTCGGCTGGGCTACAAGCCCCTCAATCACGCGCCCGCCCCTGCCACCTCCGGTTTGGACTACGGGCTGCGCAATCGGTGAATGGCTCAGAGGACGATATGCTGGTGCTGACGATAGTTGGCAGGTTTGTAAAGAAGCATGGGTATGTGTACGATAAGGACGTTTTCGAGAAGTATCAGAGACGTCGAGGCCTCAAGAAACTTCCTGTAAGTCCTGCGGTCTCTTCTGTCAACCTCTGCTCACCCATGCTCTCTAGGAAGTAGACTCAGGGGAAGACACGCCGGATCAAGACTCTCCTGGGGTTGCCGTACCTTCCGGAAGTTCAAGTTCCGACCAGCTACCGGCATCGACGACGCTGCCGAGTTCAAGCGAGGCTGCGGCCAGCGCGAGGGTAACTCTGAGTGACTCTCAAACTTAGATGTAAATAAGAAACGAAGCCTACAAGCAACAACTTGTCACTGTCAACTTAATTTGGAAGTAAAACTCTGTCAACTCT